TTGGATTTTTAGTAGTGAGCCCAGCATCAGTGTGATGTCGGCACCAAGACGGGGTCCGCCTCGGTTTCAGGGAAAATTCTGGGGCGGGTCTTGTCACCCTGCACCTATTCCAACACTTAGGACCCGTTCCATGCACTAGCACCTCAAGCCTCTCATGCAAGCCCTTTGTAATTTTGTCTCGAGCATTGAATCTAATTTGCATTTCCAACTCAAGGAGCCAATGAAGAGTTTAAACAAAGCACTCATTAAGATCCACTCTTTTTCAGATGCTTTGGGCCTAGTTTTTGCTCATTCAAAAATAGGGACTTGAAGGCTTCATTTACTTCCTCCCAACGACCTAGCAACCATCCATCACATCAAATCCTTCCAACGGGGGGAAAAACCCCCAACACATCTCCCTATTCAGTATGTCCATATTTTAGTGTTTCTTTCTAGTGCACAAAAAGGTCATAATGGAAATTCACTCTTCCCATCCTGCCCATTGGCTATCTTTGTTTAAAGAATTAAAATACAAAAGTTTAATTGATCTGGTGCAAACCAAGTGTTTTGACCTTGTCATTAAGAAAAAAATTTAGATCGCGCAATGTAGCACCCAACGTCTGCCGTGCTGCCTTATAGCCCTTTACTCGAGCCTTTTCACAAACATTTGATGTCCGTTATTGCCTAGCGACCTAGTCAGACCAGGGCTTAAGATTACTAATTTCTATAGTGCTTTCCTGCGAGGAGAGATTCAACCGTACCTCCACGCGCCTCTGTGGCTCTGTCATGCCCGTGTGTTGGACTTGTTGTCGTCCTCATAGATCATGGGCCATATTGGGCTTTTGACATCATTTGTGGTTGGTGATGGCTCAAGCCCAAGCCTAAGCCTGTAAGTATGTGTATGAGTTAAAAATATACGTGGCAATGCTCAAAAAATAAGAAATTAGTGCGCATCGGTACTTGGTTATTACATATTTTCATTTACTCAATTGTCCATCTTCCTTGCTTGCAACGTCCATTTGTCCCTTTTCAAGTGGTGTAGCACGCAAAATGCCAACACCCTCAGCTTATTTCATCAGTTATAACATGAGCATGACACGAAATCAGGCTCTCCCCTGCAAAAGTTGCTCCGCGTTGTGGCCCGCATAAATATTCAGAGAACCAAGAGCCACTCACACACACACTCACACCCATTCTAGCTCAACTCCTTCCTTCTCATCTCTCTCATCTCTATCTTCATTCATAACCTTATTCTCTAAAATCTCTTCGGCTTCGTCTTCCTCGTTATCTCTCTCTTTTGCAGTCGTACTCTTCTCACCGACGGCAAAATGTTCTACTCGCACCAGCTACTCCTCTGGGCCAAATATGGTAATGCATTCTCTGCTTTCGTTTATTTTGTACACGAAGTTTCGTTGAATCTATTGTTTAAATATATGCCAAGTTTTTCATAGCTCTGTTTTTCTCCCCAAAGGGAAATCTCAAGCTATTTTCGAAATGTTAAATGGGGAAAGAAATGGGGTGGTATGTGCCCGCCACCTGTTTGATAAAGTACCCGAACCGAATATGCATATATATATATATATATATGCATTATGGGTCTCGTTTGCCTAGATTGTGAGCAATCTCTTTCCGAGTTCAAGATAATTTGAACTCTCATTTTTCCCTTTGAGTGGTACTGGAGCTCTTTCCTTTGCCAAGTTCAGGTGTCCTGATTATTATAGCCACTGGATCATAGGTAATCTGGAGGAGAGAGTGCAATTGCAATTCTTTAGTGAAGAGAAATAAGTTCATACAAGCATTTCTCCTTCATAACCAACCAAGGCAGTTAATATTTTTTGTTTCTAGCCCTGCTACCCGAGTCATAATGTCACATTTTGGAGGTTATACCACCATTGATGACATCTGGAGGTTATACCACCATCAATGTCCCCATATGTTGATGTAGTTACATCAAATATCCCGAGTCATGATGTCACTTTAAGAGTGGTTGATTAAGTTGTACAATTAATCTTTATGTTTGCCAAATAAACCATTTTCTGAAAGAGGAGAAAAGAACTACAGACTAATCAATTTAGCAACTGTGGATGAAGCAGGTTCTAGAGAGACAGGGGCCTATAAGAAGGAAAACAAGAAGAACACAAGCCTCTGCAATGGATTTTGAACAAACAATCATTCCTGGTCATTTATACCAATCTTGGCTTCAAAATAATTCAGATATAGTTTCGAGACGAGGAAGAAAACGAAAGGTTTGTCCCTGGTCTCTAAGGTTGATATTTCAGTCTCCCATTCTATTTAGTACAGGTGAAGTTTAACCACCAAGCTGAACGTGACAAGCAAGGGAAACTACATGCCTGCATACTAACTAAAGTTGGAATGGACTGGGATAGGTTGAACTTGTCAGTTGTGATTCTTATATCTAGAGGACCAAAAATGGGATAATTGGTGAGACCACCCTAAACTCGTATGCCCTTACCCCACAGTTTCCTGACATGCTTAAGACACTTGGGTGACCTAATATAGGAAACTTATGTTATTTAACAAAACAGAGATTGAAGAGCTGGAGCTTAAATGAATTGCGTAATGTAGGAAATTTAACAAAACTTATGTTATTTGACCTAATGTAGGAAATTTAATTATAAGAATAAATCAAATCCGAAAAATGTAAATATTTATGGCTTGTAAACCCTGTACTTCTAAAGCATCAAATAACAACTCTCACACCACTCTAAGAAATCGATACGAAAAAGAAAGAAAAGAAAAAAAAAATATATATATCTCTCTCTCCTTAAATTGAAAAAGATGCATTCGCTTTTGTGTCTCCAAGCTTCCCAACGTTCTAAGCATCACATACTTCTTTGTGTTGCTGCCAGGATAAGATGGAGTTGATGATCATCAAATGTCTTCTTCAAAACTAACAAAAACAAATATGATGGGTTAGAATTAGAAGGAAAACAATAGAGGGAAAAAAAAAACATTAAGTAGGATACCTTACTTCTTTAAGAACTGCATGCTAATGCGGTTTTTAATAAAGAAATCGTATAAATCTGTGAGCTCTTCTACTTTGTGTGTTTTCCATTTTGGCACATGTTGAAGTTTTAAGAAGGCATGCATAGGGAAATAGAATCTCTCATCACGTGCCATGAGTAGTGGGTGATGCCATAATTCCACAAAATCCACACTACAAATAAAAACAAAAAATTTCCATTAAAAAAAAAGCAATAAAAGGAAACCAGAGCAAGAAAGAGTTAGTTAAATTGTTTCCTTACCCTTGGCTAGCCATGTCATAAAAGTGTTTTAGCTCCTTTTTATTGTTATCATTCCCCAATATGTCTTGACCCATGGATATGAATTGCGTCTTACACGTTCTTCTCACGATAGGTCCACTATCGGGATTTAAAATACCATCCTTCCGAACTCGATCATCAACGATATTTATGTGACGAGTATCCCAATGGCAATATTGATTGTAGAGCATGTATTCGGCAAATAGCTCAATAATGTCACTGTGAAAAAGAATAAAAATAGTACATGTTAATGACGTATAGAATCATATATTGGAACTAGAAGAAAAAGAAAAAGAAACCAAAAAAAAAAAGAGATAGGTAAAATTGTTAGGATGCTAACCGAATAATTCTGCGGTACTTGTACACAACACGATTGTCCTCCCATACAACATCATTACTACAGATGAAATCAGCTAATGATGGCATTTTCTATACTACAAACTTGGCGCTCTTGGCTCTTTATTTCTGTTTACCGTCTCTTTCTTTTTCACTTTTAGGGTTTATTTCACAGCCCCAGAGTCCTATTTATATACATACATATGACTTTCCCCCAAAAAAGAGGAAACGAAATCCTATTTCCCTTAGGGATGAAGTGTCGGGCCTGGGCCCAGAGCCCATTGCCCAGAAAATTAAGTGGCGCAAATTCTTTTAATAAATTGGTCCATTACATATAAAGACATAAAAACTTTTCGTGTTTTTAATTCAGGAAAATCCGAGTCAAATTTTCGTTGCTTGCAGCGGTGAGAGTTTGAATCCTTCAGATCAGTTCCCATGGCGCTCTCAGACTCTCCGGGATTCAAACACACACACACACACACACACTCTCTCTCTCTCTCTCTCTCTCTCTCTCTCTCTCATTTTTATTCGTAGGCTGCAACTGGTTTCGTAAGTAACAGCCTAATTCGATTTAGGAAACAACAAAACAACAATTTAAGAATACTAGCCTGATTCCCGAAGACATGTAAAAACTTTGATTTTTGACTTTGAATTATGTAATAATTAATCGGGATGATTTCTTGTAAGGTATGATCGTTATTTTTTGATTCTTTAGAACTGAAGGATTTACCTTTACATCGTAGAAATGTTTATACTTTTGGCGTGCTTTATTCTTATAATTAATTGATATTGGGAAGCTTTGAACTTTCTGGTGCTCATAAAATCACTCGACATGTAATGCCGTAGGTTAACGACAGATTTGAGATTGAAGGGGACGAGGAGACACATCTGAACTTCACGTCAGCCGATCACACGCAGATTCACATACCTCCTTCACCTCCTCAAGACGAGCATAAAAAAGGTCAGCACATTCCTTTACCTATAAACTAATTTGTCAATTTCTGAATTTAGATGAATTTAGAAGTAGGGAACTGACATGTAAGTCCACTTGAATCTTTTTCCTCATCCACACCGTTTTAAATGTCTCTATGTATATATATTCCATTGTGTAATTAGGTTGATGCAAGTTACAGAATTGCAAAGATGAAATTGTTGTCCCTTATTTTATAAGTTCCACTATAGAACAATATGCTCTTGTTCATGTTGCGAGAAATTTCTGTTCATGAGTGCTGCGCCGCTACCTTCTTATCCTTCTAGTATTATTTTTTTGTATGGGAATAAGCTTGCATAAGATACTTTTAACATGATTCTGTTATTCATCCACTTCAAATGATTCTTTTCGAGTCTATCAACTAGGTGCCTGCATTTTGTTACTTTTTCAGTTTCTTCTCCATGAGAAAGAAAGAGAAAGAAATTCCACCATACAAATTTGGTGAAAGGTTTTTACTCGCATATGCAAGCTAATCTCAAGGCCTCCTACAGGCTACAGCTGATACAATCCCAGATGATCAGCATCCAGAGGAATGCCATGAATTTAGACAGGTAGCATATAATAAATCTCATGTTTGCCATATAAATCATTTTCTGAAAGTGGATAAAAGAACTACAAACTAATCATGTAAGAACTTTAATTTGCTTATGCTAAGTGTGTTGCACCGCACAGATGTAATGGCAACTATGAAGATAGTTAACCTCATGGAGCTGCCACCTATTGTACTAATTGGTGATTTATTTACAACCGGAAGTAAAGAATTATATTATCCACGTCCTCTCCTGGACCTGCGGATGAACCCCAGGCCTCTCCTTCTGGTCAGTGGTAGTCATAGTTCGTTTTCAGAGCTTCCTCATGAATTATTCAAGTAATACAAAGAACTCCGTGTGCAGAACGGACCTCCCCACTCGTGCCCCCAGAACCATTGTCATCAACACCGACTGGAAGACAACAATATGAAGATCCAGTGGGATATCTAAGCCAATCCACCTTGTATTAATTTTCGCGTTTTCGAAGAAATCAATTAAGCTCATGTCTGATAAGTTGCAATGTGTTGAAATGTGAGGCCTTTTGAAGACTTTCATAGTGGAGCCTGCTCCCCGTCCTTAGAGCCTGCCATAGATAAGGAACTACGACATTCTGATATGACAAGAGGCAACAGTAACCCAGCACAGGTAGTCCTGGAAGGACTGGCAGCCAATCTTAAGAACAATGGCTTAGGGGGAACTGATGCTAACCCAATGGCTACCCCTGGAAATTCTGGTACGATTAAATTTATTTAATGCGTATAAAACCGCTCTGCCATTTAAAGGGAATATCTGGAGACACCCGTATGCAGTTATTAAGTATGTATGCAGCCCAACCTTCCTCCTCAGTTTTTGTCGCAAATTGCAATCTTGTCTCTTCTGAAGCCCCTATTATCTTATACAGACGAACCTATAAATGATGCCGTTTGCCTTTTGCCTCTTGTCTCGTCGTAGATCTGATTCCTTTTGCCCTCATTCACATTAAACAAGATCAATTGAATTTCTTAAGTTTGTTCTCAAGTACACTGTTAAATGATAACAAGTAATATTAACATATAAATGTCTACGAGGACTACCAAAGTTTATGACAGCATACACACCTCGGATCCTAAAACACAGATAAGTGACATACACACCTGCAACATATACTCTTTCAACATGATAATTTTCAGCATCATTAAGTTGGCTGGAAACACCACCAGTCAAAGGCCACTTTGTACCACCAGTCGTTGAAGTTTCCTCCCCGTTAATCTTTCCTACTAAGACTTGCTTAATGACCAAAGACATACAAAGTCAACAAATGCAGAAAACAGGGAAAAGAAAAAGGAGTTGAATTTTGATCAGAGACTAAAGCATATATGCCACTTGAATTTTTCAAACTGAGACAGTTTTAGTACAAGTTGCTCGTCACTACCTGGGACGGGTCTGGCCTTGCATGGCAGTTTCTATTCCTCTTTCGGTGTCGATGTATTCATGAACTTTGTTTCTAAGGTCGAGAGCTCTAACATATCAAAATTTGAGAGCCATTCGAGTTCTGTAGCCATCTGAAATCATGTCTAAGGTAAGACTGGTCATGCTTTTTGCTGGTTTTACTCTAGACTACACTTTTTCACTCTTGCATGTCCACTTCCTTGACTCAGGTGACAATCCTTCCTTCATAACAATTGTTCAGCTCTGTGTAGTCGACAACACCTCCAATTTTGGTAGCTCAGCATTGGTAAGGCTGAAGCAACCTCTTCCTTGCTTCCTTCTCACTTCCTTGTGTCTACTTTTCTGTGTTGCTTTGTTTGGATACCACGAACACTTCTCACAGTTCCAATTCATAGTCTAGGCTGTCATGACTTCTTTAGAAATCGATCTTGAACTCTTGCTTTGTACACATGCCTTTTAGATTCAAAGTTCTTCAAACTCTGGAAAACTGGCCAGACCAATTCATGGCTCGAAATCTCTATTCTCTGGAGTTCTAATCGAAACCTCTTGTTCTTGAAAGTTGTTCCTCTGCTCATCTACTCTAAGATATCAAAAATTGAGCACTATTGGTTCAGCACAGCCTCGGTAAATCTATTATGACCAAAGCTCACTCGTCACCTTTGTTACCACTTCCTGATTAGTTTTGCATGTTGAATTTGGTTCTTGCGTGTTAATTCCTTGTATAATCTGGTAGGAATCTGAACACCCAGTTCTATCTTTTGTTTATACAGTCAAGTTTGAGAACTCTCCCTTGCTTGTGGCCTTAAAACACAATTTGGAGCTTATCTTTCTTTGGGTACTTGTATCTCCACCTTGGGGTGTAATCTGTTTTACAGATCATGTTTTCCTTCCTACAACCAAACACTATCTGTTTTGTGTACACCTTCCTATTCGGGACAGATTTCCATTCCTTTGGTCCCTCTAGTGTTGGTTTACTCTAGTACCTAAGTTTGGTCTATTTTGGTTGTGTGGTTTTGTTTGTCTAAGTTAGTTGCTACTTCTCCGTTGGTAGGACGGCGTACAAGCTCTTTAAAAGGAAGGCTGCCTGGTAGGAATTCTCCGGCCGCTAGGAATTTTTCCTTGGCAAATTGGGTGAATTTTGACCACCCCCAAACAGTGCGATAAATCAAAGCGATAAATAAAGCAAGAATGAAATAAAAGCGATAAGAACAATAAGAACAATAAAATAAAATAAACTTGAAATTAAACTTAATTGAAGTGCGATAACAATGAAAAGCAAAGCAATGAAAGTAAACTTGAATCTAAATGACAAGAAAATATAAATTGAACAAGAATTTAAACTTATACTAGGAAAATGAAGAACTTGCTACACTAGGTGCGTGAAAAGTAAAATCTTAAGTCTAGGAAAAGAAAAGTGCGAGATGAAACGTAGGTTTGTCTGTTTGATGTTGTGTCTCTCTTTCCTTCGTTTAGTGAGGTTTATATAGGGCATTCGTCAGCCTATGGGCTGGCCATTGAATGGCCAAAGGTCAACTCTTTTAAATTCTTTCCTTCTAAGGCCCCCCTAAATCCGTAAGATTGCATTGATTGAACTATTCTGACATACTTGATTTTTCCTTGCTTTGGAACATTCGGAGTTATTATCAAACTCCTTGATTTCTTTCCTTCTGAGGCCTTCGTCATGTGCACATAATCCTCCGAAAATCCTGAGCTTGAAATTGGTGGCTTAGAACTGGGCTTCCAAGTCCACTTAAATTGCCATCCATTTTTATTACAATTTTATTACATATATTACATAAACATAAAATAATACAAGGAGGGCTAAAATTCTCCAACCCGACTGCCCATTCTCATTCATTTATATTACATATATATATATATATATATATATATAAGACATAAAAAAGACGTAATTTATGCATGAATCTTATTAATGAAAATACAAACATTGAGCATATGAACATAATGGTATATTTCAAAATACTCAAAATATTTAAATTTCAAAGACTTTATTAAAACATTGGCTTATGAGAATGTTGGCTTACAAGTATAGTTCCTGGCTTCGCTCACACTCGGCTGTTCTTCAGATCATTGTTTCTGAGAGAACAATTTGAAACTAGGAAACTAAACTTTTACATTCTTCCTGTAAGTGGCAAATGTGGTTAGTCTTATCTTGAATAAATGAAGCAATTTTAGTAACCATATTTTTTTGTAAGTTCTTTAAATTATGCAATTCTGAACGAGTGAGGAATTCAAACTTAACCTTTTCTCCTAAATGACTAGAAACTACTCCATCAAATTCAACTTGGAGGGGGTAAAGGAGGCTTATAAAAGGTAATCCTAAAATGACTTTATCAGTTATATTTTTTATTAAGACAAATGAAGTTTTAAAACAGACTCTATTCTGGCAGACATGTGCTTTTGGGATTTCATATTTCAATTGCAATAATTTTCCAGAAGCAGTGCTTAGGGATTCTTTAGATTTCATATAATACTTGGTTGGAATTAATCCTTTTTTTATGCAATTAAGATCGGCTCCAGAATCAAATAAAGCAATAGTATTGATTTCAAAATCATCAACAATTATAGTAACTTTGGAATACCATTTTCTAAAAGAAACATGATTAATTAAATTAAGGGCTTGATCAATTTTCTCATTGTCTTCCGAGTGGGCAGGGCTACCAGGTTGACTATCGGTCTTAGGGGACTCTTTTTCTAAGAAGAAATTGAGGTTTTGTCGTATGTCATAATTCTCAGTTTGCAACCTGTGACTCATCTGTTTTAACTCAAGTATTTCCTTTTTTATAGTTTTGACTTCAGCATGTAAATCTTGCAAAGAAATTTCTTTTTTCTTATGGAATCTCTCTAAGGTTGTATTGAGACTTATAGTAGAAGAAGAGGGTTGACTTATGCTATTTTCTTGGGTCATAATTTTCTTTAATTTTTTCAAGTATTCAGTTTTCAACTCAGGATGTTCTACCTTACTGATTAGTTCTAATAACAATTCTTCTTGCTCTTCTTGCTTAGTTAAGACAGAAATAGACTTAAGAACATTACAACATTTATCTTTACATCCTATTTGAATATTTGGCGAACTTGGTTTGGAATCAGAAGACTCATAATGGGATGACTCAGAGTTGCTTACCATGGTTACATCATCACTAGACTCAGAATCTCTTATTTCAAGTATTTTAAGTAAATTGGTTCTTTCTTCATCTGTAATTTGTAGTTGTCGGATAGCATCTTTTACTTTGCACTTATTGGCATAGTGACCAAACTTTTGACACTTATAACATCTAACTTTGCTTTTGTCTATCATTTTCTTAACTTTTGGCTTTTTGGACCAGTTTTTCTTAGGATGAAACTTTCTTTTCTTATAAAACTCATTATTTTGTTGGTATGGGTATTTCTTGCGCTTATAATGCCAGCTTTTTCTAATATGCCTAGGAGAGCTGTATTTATACTTATTTTGTCTAGAAGGGGGAACAGACAGACCATATTGCTCACAGAAATTTCCTAATTCATATTTGGCAGATCTTTTCTCAGATTGTATTTGGCGATTAATTTTCATATCAATACACATTTTCATACCTTCTTGATTAATCGTACTAATAATGTTACCGTAAGTTAAACTATCATAGTCTATATGGCCTAATTCATTACTTAGAACAGTACGTATCTTATGGGCAAATAAATTAGGTAGTCCATTAATAAATTTTTCTTTCCAAAAGGCTTGGTTACTATCTTCTCTTAGCATGACTCGGGAGATAAAAATATCTTTATACCACCTAAAATCGCTTAATTGAGGGCATCTTAGATTACTCAATTCATGTATTCTAGACTGAGTATGACTTGGCGTTCCTATAAAATGTTCAACTATGGTGTAAAGGAGAGTATTAACACCATCTTCTATACCACGGCCTATGTGCTGATTTCCCTACTGCATTTTGGCATAGAAAACATCATGTAGTAAAACTACCTTACATTAAAAACTTCTCTGAGAAAAATATACCTACTAAAGCCCGTCCGATACAAATGAGCCAAGAAATGGTAAGTTATTGTAAAACTGAAATTAATGACCTATTACAAAAGAACATCATTAGGAAAAGTAAGTCTCCATGGTCTTGCCCTGCCTTTTACGTACAGAAAAATACTGAGTTAGAACGAGGATCACCAAGATTAGTCATTAATTATAAACCTTTAAATACTGTTCTAGAATGGATTAGATACCCTATCCCTAATAAGAGGGATCTGATCAACCATTTAAGCAATGCTGCTATCTTTTCTAAATTTGATTTAAAGAGTGGTTTTTGGCAAATACAAATTGATGAAGCTGATAGATATAAGACTGCTTTTGTTACTCCTTTTGGCCATTATGAGTGGAATGTTATGCCGTTTGGACTTAAGAATGCCCCCAGTGAATTTCAAAATATAATGAATGAGATTTTTAAT